TTGTGTATATATACCACATTTTCTTGATCCATTCATCTACTGAGGAGCATCTGGGTTGGTTCCATATCTTAGCTATGGTAAATAATGCTGCAATAAACGCAGTCGTGCTGGTAGCTTTAGTGTGGTCTTGTTTGTGAACATTTGGGTAAATGCCCAAAAGTGGGATTAGCTGCTTTTTTTTTTTTTAAGTTGGTTGTGGGGTTTGAACTCTGGGCTTGGACACTGTCCCTCAGGTCTTCAGCTCAAGGCGAGTGCTCTACCGTTTGAGCCACAGCGCCACTTCCAGTTTTCTAGAGGTTTATTGGAGATAAGAGTCTCATAGACTTTCCTTGCCTCGGGCTGTCTTTGAACCGTGATCCTTAGATCTCAGCCTCCAGAGTAGCTAGGATTACAGGCATGAGCCACTGGCGCCCGGCTTTTTTTTTTTTAAGTGACCCATACAATTATTTTTATGTCAACAGTAATTTAAGCTATCAATATACTTTGAACTCAATAAATACTGTAATCTTGTGTGTGTGTGTGTGTGTCTGTGTGTGTTGGTACTGGGGCCTGAACTCAGGGCCTCAAGCTCTCACTTGGCATTTTCCACACCCCCAGTTTTGTTGTTTTTGTTTTTTGCTGTTTGGTTGGAGATAAGAGTCTCACAGACATGTATATCCAGGATGGCTTACAATCATGAGCCTCAGATCTCAGCCTAGGATCATGGGCATAGCTGCCAATATCTGGAGAACTGAATGAATTTATTTGTAAACTTAAATAGCAAAACCAAATGCAAGAAAGAAAAAAACAGAATATATATTACCACCAAGGAAATATAAAAACCCAGAAAAATTGGTATCAAATGCTTTTAATATAGGAAAAAAAATCTATTGAGGGATAAAAAGGATTTAATTAGGCTCTGGTAGGAGAAAAATGTCAAAATAGTAAATCTACTCTGTCATCCTCTCTTCACTGGAAATTACTTCTGTTGGAGAACAAATAATGTTTACAGTAATACTTAGCAATTATTAATAAGTACTTCAAAGTTTAGTTTTCTTATAAACCTGTGAAGTATATAAAGTTTACTGTTTGATTGACAGTATTGAGAAGTATATTATTTCATCAACTATAAAAAAGTCCCATTTTTTTCCAAAGTTAGGCAAAGACATGCACAAGTAATGAACATCAAAAAACACTAATATAGGCTGTGATATCAGCAAGATGGCAGAATAGAAAAAAATAGTGACATTTTTAACATAAATGGGAAATACTAAAATTCACAGGGAATTACAGAAGAACTCAAATTAGCCAAAGCAATCTTGAACAATGAGACTAAAGAACATCATCTGCCTGATTCTGAGTTATTTTACAAACTCCAGTAATTAGAAAGTGTGTTTCAGTACACAAAAGCAGACACCCAAACCAACAGAAAAAATAGCTCAGATATAAACTCACATACGCATGATCAACTTTCAATAAGGCACCAAAAGTGTTCAATAGGCAAAGAGCAATCTCTGAATAAATGTTCATCTATAGTAAAAATTTGCACAAGCTTTTTAGGAAACAACTGGACTAAAACTGAAATGTTATTTTGTTGGCCTACCAGTTGTACTTTTATTCCAAGGAAGTTCCACCATGAGTTCCAAATAATTTCTAGTCAGAGCATACTCTGGCATCGACTGAGGCATTTTTTTGAGTCTGTGGGAAGAATACAAAACAGACATGTTCAAGAACATAAAGTTCCATACAACAGAAAAATCAAATCAAGCATTATGCATATCATGCATATTTATAAATAAATCTGAAAATTTTTGTGGCTTTTTTTTTTTGGTGATTTGGAGATAAAAATCTCATAGACTTTCCTGACTGGGCTGGCTTCGAACATCAACTGTCAGTTATCATTCTCCTATGTAGCTCAAATTACAGGTGTCCAGCCTGAGAAAAACTTTTAACTAGCTAGTTAATAAAAATAATTTGTGTCCGCATTTTATACCTACAATCATCAGGAGGCTGAGATGTGAGGATAGAAGTTTGAAGCCAGGACAGGCAGGAAAGCTTATGAGCCTCATATTCAATTAACTATCAAAAAGCTGGAAATGGTGCTGTGGCTCAAGTGGTCGAGCATCAGCCTTGAGTGAAAAAGCTAATAGTCAGTGCCTAGTTGCCCAGGCTCTGAGTTCAATATCTAGCCAGTACACACACTCACATATACAATATACACATGAGCATAAACACATATACATACACACACACACATTGCAATATAAAGGAACAATGGCATTCTAACTAAAGTTATGCAAATAACTATATGTCTTTTTGTTAAAAATGCTCACTGACTTTATCCTGTACAAAGAGAAACCTACAGTTATTATTCTCTGCCATTTATAATCTAAAGAAAAATAAAAACCAGAGCTGAAGAAGTAGCTCAGTGGTAGACACATGCCTAGAATGCTCTGGGTTTCACTCCTAGCACCACAAACAAAAGAAAAAAACTCAGTGTAAGTGAAGATACAAAAATAACTGAATAAACACAACATCTAAACAAGGAAGCATGGTCTATTATTCTAGACAATGAAAAGAAAGCTAGAACAATTAAGCCTGATAGAAAATGGTAGATGTAGATGGAAATGGTATGTCTCCTCAGCACTTAAGATTATAGCTGGAGATGTGGCTCAAGTGGTATAACACCAGATGAACAAGCAAGGAAATGCAGCAAGTGTGAGGCCAAGTTCAAACCCAGTACTGGCAAAAAAAAAAAAAAAAAGGTTAGTAAAAGTACTTTGAATTAGGATTAGAATGAATTCAAACGGTTTAATAGCTGGTAGGGTGACATCTGTTTATAATCTCAGCACTTGGGGCAAGTCTTCAGGTTAAAGCCAGCCTAAACTACACACAGAGACCCTGTCTCAAAAACTCTGTAAATAAAATTTTAAAAAGTTTAATAATTAGTGTCTCCTGGGAAGTAAAGAAAAAGGCAGAAAGCATTCCACAAAGGTATAAGCCATCAGGAAAGCCATAAAAAGAAAGAAAAGTTTTCAATATGCCAGAGCAGTCTACATATAGATTAAACATAAGAAAAAGAAAGATCAGAAAACATATCATTAACAGTTCAGCTTTCAGCTTGATATCCAAAGTAGCAGAATCAAGTCTCCATAAGCATCAGTTTTTAACCTTAATGAACACTAATGAATTAATGTCTTCTGTAATTTACCTTTTTATCTCTTTGACACAGACTTTATGGGCCTGTTCTGGCATATTGGATGTTTTTATTTTTTTTTCTAGCATGACGATGTCATCATTATCTTCATCCTCATCTTCATCTTCTAAAATACCAGGGATATGTGTAATCCTTCTAATAGGACGTATTGCTATAACCTAAACAGAAAAAAACTGTGTGTCAAGTTAAAGTAGAAATAAAGTACCCAACTACAAGTAAGGTTATAATTGGTATAGAATATACATCTTTAAGGCTATGATATGTATCTTTTGAAAATGAAACTCAGAATAATTAAAAGGCAGATGTAGCCTTCCCCCACCCCTTGCTGGCCGCTAACCTGAGCCAAACCATGGCTTGGCCCAGCCTGGGGCTGCTGGAGACCCCAGAACCACAATGGGTTGTCTGCAAAACACCAGCTCAGAAGACTCCCAAGGTGGCGGTGCCAGACCTGGTGATTATGAACAGAGAAACCTCAGAGCTCGGAAACTGCATGGAGACCCTTCCCCCACCCCTCACCGGCAGAGCAGCCCTGCACCATCCACCAAAACCACCCAGCCTGTCAGCCCTGGTGGAGGGAATTCCAGAGCTATAGGGGTCCATCTGCAGAACACCAGTGCAGAAGACTGATCTTCTGCCAGTGCTTATCTGGAGAGTACAAACAGAGACAGAAACCTCAGAGCTCAGAACCTGCATGAAGACCCCTCCCTCACCCCTCACCTGCGTAGTAGCTCTGGGCCATCCCACCTAAGCTGCCCAGCCCTCCAGAACCACAGTGGTTTGTAGGAAGCCAGTACAAAAAAGGCCCGCAGCGCCAACCAGGACAGCACAAACAGAGGCAGAGATGGTGTGAAACACAGACTCAGAGCCACCACCACCACCTGGCCCAGCCCATAATCATCTCAATGGAACTCGGAGCATGGTGACAGTGACCTACAGTGCACAGAAACAGTGATCTGCCACAACACCGCTGGACAGCTCCCAACGAGTTCCAGGATAAGTGAGTACCCCACAGGGGACAACCTACCCCACCAAGGGAGACTAGTGCTGGCGGTAACCCCCAGAGCTTGACCTAGACCCCTCCCCCTACCACCTGGACCACAGGTCCCACTAAAACTGGGAACTGTGCAAGTGCCCCACCAGCCCGTGGAGCACACCCAGCCTGCCAGGCTTGACCAAGAGCACCCCTGGGAGGTAGTAGGAATGATCAAGCAGGGAACCTGGAACAAAACCAGCAGGCCACAGGAGCCAGCAGCCGAAGAAATCCTAACTGCATGCTCTGGGTGGGAAACCCAGCAGCACAGTCCCACCAGAGCTGCATAACCCAACTGTCCCGACTGAAGTCCACCCTCAGCAGAAGGTGGAAAGCAGGAACCGCATCTGCCAGGAACTGTGCCCATAACAGCAAAAGACCTATGTGTCCAGGGCGGGAGAACCAGAAGCCCAAATCCCACCAATGCCTGACCTGTGTATCTCGGGTTGGGATTGGACAGCTCAGGCCGCCAGCACCTGATTATAGTCAGGAGCTCAGCGGACTACAGCAATCTGGTCTTGCCAAGAGCACCCCTAGGAGGGAGCACGAACAGTCTAGGCTGCAGGCGGGAACTGCCTGTGATCTCCAGCAGACAGCTGAGAGTCCTTCCTACATGGGTCAGACTAGCAGTTGGAGGTCAGCCTCCCCCATCCCCCCCAACAGAACCGAGACTGGGTAAAAAGTCTCTCAGCCAACCCAGGGCCAAGAGCGAGCTTCATCAATTGACCTAGGAACCAACCCAGAAACAAGCAAAGACAGCCACCTATTGACTAAAACAGTCAGAGTTTGGGAATGGTCTCCAATAATCCCTGAATCCCCATGTGAAAATCACAACAAAAAAAAAATCACAAGATTTTGTGATTGGCTTGCCAAGACAGCAAGCCACCTCCAAAGGCCAGCAGCCACCCAGGGAAGAGCCCCAGTGGAAGCAAAATAGAAATAGAAGACAAGAGTTGATGATTCAAGAATTAAAGTGAGAATAGATCAGAAATTTAAGAATGAAGAAATGAATTATCAAAAAAGATACAGGCTTTCAAACAAGAGATGCATTCAAAAATAGATGCAGTACACACCTTGCTAAGAGATGAGATTAATATTCTGAAAATGGACGTAGAAGTCATAAATGGTACAATTTCCTCCATACAAACCACAATGGAAACCATAGTTAACAGAGTGACTCAAATGGAAATTAGAGTATTAGGTATAGAAGACAAAATGCAGCAACTGGAAAAAAAAAAGTCTCAGATATGGAAAAAACAAACTATGCCAAAGGGAAGTCAAAGAACAAGCTAGCTGACAGTGCCAAGAAATTCAACCTTGGTATAATCGGGGTGGACAAAGGTGAGGAACACCAGAATAAAGGAATGCGACACTTAATCAGAATCACTGAAAATTTCCCCAATCTTAAAAGAGAAAATCTTACCTACATAACAGTAGCACACAGAACAACAAGCAAGAGGAACACTTCTAGGCACATATAGTAAAAATGATAGTTCTGAATAATAATCTTGCACACAGCAAAAAACAAAGAAGGAGTTATATTATAATGAGAAAAAAATTCAGAATTACTGAAGATCTCTCCACACAGACACTGAATGCAAGGAAAGCCTGGGAAAGTACCATTCAAGCCCTGAGAACCAATAACTGCCAACGCAGACTGGTATACCCTGCAAAGCTAGCATTCACATTCAATGGAGAAACTAAAATTTGTAATAGTAAAGAAAAACTAAATGAATTCATAAACAATCCAGCCCTTCAAAGAATATTAAGAGGGGGAATACAACCTGAAGAAAACAATCTCCTGGGCTCCAGTGGCTCATGCCTGTAATTCTAGCTACTCGGGAGGCTGAGATCTGAGGATCATGGTTCAAAGCCAGCCTGGGCAGGAAAGTCTGTGAGACTCTTATCACCAATAAACCACTCAGAAAACTGGAAATGGCACTGTGGCTCAAGTGGTAGAGCGCTAGCTTTGAGCTGAAGAGCTGAGGGATAGCACCCAGGCCCAGAGTTCAAGCCCTATGACTGACCCCCCCCCCAAAAAAAAGAAGAAAGAAAACAATCAAGATCAGGGATCTACATCAGACAGATATCACTAGAAGTCCAACTTAGTAAGCACAAGAGGAAAGGAAAGAAGAAAAACTTAGGAAGGCAGGAAAATGACAGGAAACACAATGCATCTCTCTATAATAACAATAAATATTAACAGGCTCAATTCACCAATCAAAAGCAAAAGAACTGCAGATTAGATCAGAAAACAAGGTCCATCCATTTGTTGCCTTCAAGAGACTCATCTCGCAGCCAAACATAAAAACAAACTCTGAGTGAAGGGATGGAGGAAGATCTACCATGCAAATGCTCCTAACAAGAAGGCAGGAGTTGCCATCCTGACATTTGACAAAATAAACTTGTCATTAAAATCAATACAAAAAGACAAACAAGGATACTACATATTACTACAGGGAACATTCCCTGAAGAGGATATCACCATTACCAACTTATACTCCCCAAACATTGGTGCACCCAAGTATGTTAAGCAAATACTCTCAAATTTCCAGAATAAAATAGATCCCAATACGATAATACTAGGAGACTTTAATACTCCACTCTCACCAAAGGACAGGTCTACCAACCAGAGGACTGGCAAAGAAGCCTCTGAATTAAATAATGCCATATCTTAAGAATTAATTGACATCTACTGAGTTTTTCACCAACAACACATTCTTCTCAGTAGCCCATGGAACTTTCTCTAAAATAAATCATATCATAATTCATACAAGGAATATAAGCAAATACAAGAGGACTGACATAATCCCCTGTATTCTATCCAGCCACAGTGGAATCAAGCTAGTTCTCAATAACAAAGCATACCATAGAAATTACTCAAATACATGGAAATTGAACAACTCACTTCTGAACAACATCTGGGTCACAGAAGAAATTAAAGACGAAATTAAAAGTTCCTACAATTCAATGAAAATGAATACACATCACAAAGAAACCTGTGGGAGACGGCAAAAGCAGTCCTGAGGGGCAGATTTATTGCTCTCAGCGCACACATCAAAAAAATAGAGACAGACCAAGTAATCTCATGTTGTAACTAAAACTGCTAGAAAATCATGAACCTAAAGTTACTAGATGGACCAAGATAACCAAAATAAGAGCTGAAATTAATGAGATAGAGACTAAGAAACAATAAATAAAACAAAAAGCTGTTTTTTTAAAAAAAATCAATAAAATTGATGGACCTCTAGTAGATTAACTAAAAAAGAAGAAAAGAAATCATGCCTCGAGAAAAATTACAACAAATATCCAAGACATCCAAACAATTATAAAGAACATTTCAGTTGTATTGTCAAAGCTCACAGAATTCACAAACTTTATAGACCATGGTAATGACAATTTGCCTTGTGAAAGTTAAAATAGGTTTGTGACTTTAACTACTCCACAATACTGTGAAATATGGGAAATGTATGTAATCACCTAATTAGGACATATAATGCTGAAATTGCATTTGAATAAAAAATATGGTTAATACAAAGGCAAGACACCAGTGAGCTGAGCAGAATGATGCCTTAGCCTTGACTGAACAGAATCAACACAGGTTTGACAGAGGTTTACATAGATTTTGTAAAGGGCTTAGTTCTTTTTCACCTGAGATATTAGAAGATAGCCATATTTTTAAAAAAATTTTTAATGTTTTTTTTCTCTATTGGATTTGTGCTTATAAGTGCAGAAAATCTTTAACTGGAAAAATCAGAGAATAATAGGAAGGGCCTTCTCACACAAATCCATACTTCATATTTACTCTATGTTTTCAGAGTACTTTGAGGGCAATGTTTGACCACTAAACAAACTGATGACACCTTTTTCTCTTCTAAAGAATTTAAATCTAACCCTGCTTCTGTTTCTCTAGAGTAATTTCACTCAGCACTGTTACAGTAGGAAGTGGATCCCCTAAACATCCCCAATGAGAGTGATGTGAGCTCATTTTTCTCTTTATAAAAATCTGTTTGAAAGTGCTAAGATGTTAAATGTGAATGTTTTACTTTTTCTTAGTGAATATTTGTTACAGGATAGTTGCGGGGGGGGAGGGGAAATAAATAAATAAAATAAATAAATAAATAAATA